AGTAGCGCCGTTGCTTCGGCTGCTCGTCTCACCAGCCCGTGGCCGCTGTGCGGCGCGGACTGTGGAAGGCTCAGAGCCTCGTGCCAGGAGTGCCGAGAAAAGTAAGGGGTTGCGCGTGTGTTCGGTTTAGGAAGGGTTGTCGGGTAGGTTTTTGGCAAAGCCTCCGGCCGCCCGCTGCCCTAACGACACACCCCGTGCTCTCGGCTGAGGGCGAATGTGACTGTACATAGTCTACGGGCTGTGCTGTGAGACTTTGTGCTTTTATGCATGTGTACTGTGAATTCGTGTTCCATAACATTTTTGGCTCAAGCGAGCACGGCAGTAAATCGTAGGTTGCTCCGTGTAGCCTGCGATATATTGGCGGTGCGCAGCACGCTCCTGTGGTAGACGTGCGACCTGACACGGTCGCGGGACTTCTGCAGCAGAGCACGTAAACGGGCGGCGCACGATTGCCTGGTGGTAACTCTGCCCCGCTGTGCTCCTTCACAGTAAGCTCAGAGTTCGTTGCATCAATCCTTGCCAAGCCAAAGAGTATGAGTGTGTTTTTGTGTGTGTATGTGTGTGTGCGTTTGTGCGTGCATGTAAAATTACTTGCCTGCTTGTGTCTTTAATTCGCGAATTTTCTTCAAACATGCAACTATTGTTTATGTAGTTGATAGTTCTTTACATATTGGATCAGTTGTCTGACTTTTGCTTACTTGTATTGTCGGCCAGAATCTAGAAACAATGTATAGAACCTGTGCAGGAGCAGATCTTTGGCAGACGGTTGATGGGATCCCCCCACCCTTTGGGGCAATTGTGTCTGCATGCCCTCCCCTGGATCAGCACCTGGTCTTAATTACGTTCTTTGTGACCCTGAAGGCTGCCGTTCCACCCAGGCGTCCGAAGCCAATCTTGGCCCTTTTGCATGCTGGAAACGATCAAGAGCTACATCACTTCGCGTGCCATCATGTGCGGAATGACATGGGAGATGAGGCTTGACGGATCATGTGTGGAATCCGCAAGTGTCCGCAAGCGTGGATAGGATTCCCTGAGGCTCCCACACGGAAAGCGGGGGTCAAAATCACCTCGGCAAGTTTCATGGTGCTTGAGGAACGTTGCCCCACAGACAGCTGTGCAGACACAGCACAAGAAGCATCCTCCATGCCAAAATGACATGGAGAAGGCTCTGTGCGCTGAGCTTCCGGGCAGAAGCTCAGCGACCACACAGATGACCCGAGTGAGCCGAGAGCGACACGCTCAAGAAGGGGTACATCAAGAGAGGCTTCCGTCTTCTCTAAGCACATGGCACTTTCAAGCGTGCGCCCTCCAAGCAACGCAAAATTCACACGAACCTGCACCCCCTGCATCTGTTCATTCAGGCTGGAGCAGAAACATAAGACGACAGTATCTGAATACTGGAAATCTCGATGACCACAACCAATATCGCGTTGATCAGCAGACAAGAATAGGTCGTTGGTGCTGGCAGTCGTATTTCGGACAGTACTTGCAATACTGTTGGAAGAGCAGCAGCAGAGTGAGTCGTCGTCATGCCCCGCCACAACGAGGTAAGGTCGAGCATGCAGGAACGGTGCCTTTGCTTTAGGATTTTGGATATGGGGCTTTGGAGCTTCTAACTTGTAGGCTTTCGGGTTCAGTTTTGTGGGGTTCTATGGTGATTAGGACCTTTAACGCCTATTCCTCGCAGCACTGCATACCAAAGGGAGCATAAACCTCACATCTGGATGGAAACGGGACAGGCGTTCTGGCAACTTTCTGGTCACAGACCGCGGCACATCGTGAACTGCACAACACCAGGGAGCCGCTTCCCCTTGCCTTTTAGGCATGTCCCAGGGAGCAGCAATGCTTTCCACAGTCGACGTGTCAAATTGAAATGTTGCAATTTCAGTACGAGGTCTTCGCACCATATCGGATGGGCCATCATCCCTCTCACTGCAGCATCATAACGGTGAGATGAATCAGCATCGCCGTGATGTCCATCACCCATGACCGCTGTTGTCATTGCCATGCTCCAACATCTCCGCACGACTGAGTGCAAATCAAGCTGGATAGCTGAATCTCGACTGAGCCAGGTTTGCCTGCCGGTAGCTAGCGGCTGGGCAACAGGAGTCATCACTAGATCTTCAACCAGTGGCAAAGGAGCGACTCGTCTCTGCAAGATTTGCAAAGTGGCCAACACGGACAATCGAAGCCACGCCTGTCAAGATCCTGTCAAGTTTGTACATGTTGATTACGCGTTTCTTGGGCAAGACGGCGCTTCTGTCTAAATCCGTCAACAGTTGCCAAATTTGTCAACCGCTTCACCCCTTTGGGGAATCTGCGCGACCGCTCCAGCACTGTTGGATCTGTCTTGAAGTTATAGGCTGCAGACTTCTTTGCCCGCTTCTCATTCGGCATCACCTGAGGCTCGGGCAAAAACTACCATTGCGCATGGGGACAGGGAGAACCGGGATAACTGTTTCCCTGCTTTTGTGACGCACATGGCCTCTCCCTCGTAGGACTCGCTGCTCCAGGCGGGAATACGCAGAGAAGCCTGGAAGCCTCCACTGGTCCGCGTAATGTCATAGAAAACTTCCTTGGACATATCATCCACACCAGTCAAGCACCTGAATCACGGGAGACGGCCAGCAAATGAATGTGTTCCGGTTGCTACTTACGCGAGACACTGAACGACAACCAACTGCAAAGCCAACTGCGAATTCAGCAAGGCACCTTGCAAAAGCATGGACGGCCTCTAGCTCGCCTTTCTTCTCCAGCTGGAGGTCGAAGAAGAACTCTCCGTCTGGATCTGCACGCGGCTGCGTTGAGCTTCGTCTCGGCGACTTGGAAGGCGTCGAGCTCCGCAGTCGTCGTGACCGCGAAGACGGAGGAGTGCCTTTGTCCTTCGGTGGAGAACCAGCTTTAGCCTCGCTCGAGCTGCTGCGGACGCTTGCTGAAGGCGGGTAGCTGACTGGGTACAGTGCTTTTGGCATAGGCGGCGTGGTGGTCTGTCTGAAGTCTGAAAGGACTGTGCATGCGTGCAAGTCAGGCATCGTTCAACCAGCAGTTCAACAATCGTGGCTTCTGGTAGAGGTGTGAGATGCTGCTTTTTGTTGACTCGCGTCCCGACTTGAGTCTGCAAAAGGCTGCGACTTCCTCGAGTTCAGCCCATGTCACAACCGGCCAGCCCCTCCCCGAAACATGCAAATCTTCTTTCAACATCTTTCAACTGCGCCTGGCGGACTGCAAGCTCGGAGTTTAAGCATGCTGACGAGGGAAGCTGAGAAACAAAGAATAGCAACAGCACCCAGATACCTATGTGCCCCACCATGTGTAAACTGACAGCAGAAATGTGCTGCGTCCGAGCCCCTGACCCGGACTTCAGGACCCAATCGGCAGAGGCCGGATATGAAAGGAAGGGAGCAGCTGACTCTACCATTCCACGTCATTTTTGAGGCACAGGCTTAGCGACGGAATGTAGCGGTTAGCATTGACAGACCTCCAGCGATGTCATTGAACGATTGCGCAAAAGCCATGCCAGGAACTTAGGCGCGGACTGAACAACCAACGCACCGAAGCCCAAGCCGGTAAGGCCATGTCAATACGATGCCGACCTTTGCTAGCATGACTTTATGCAAGCACATGCGGTGTCGCCTCATGCAGGGTCGAATGCCTGAGTGTGAGAAAAAATTGCAGATTTCCCAAGGAACATGAGCAGAATAACAGCGGTGGCGTAAGAGGACGGTACACAGGAGCAGGAGGCAGAGGAGCAGGAGGAGCAGGAGGAGCAGGAGGAGCAGGAGGAGCAGGAGGAGCAGGAACAGGAGGAGGAGGAGGAGGAGGAGGAGGAGGAGGTGGAGGAGTCACTTCTAGCATCCACGAGGCTGAAGGAGGACTGAGGCAGAGGCAAGACGGCTCTCCAGCATTGAATTCCGATGCCGTACAGAAAAACAAGGCCGGAACATGTAAAACGCATCCCCAAAACGGCTCAGCCACAGTCTGCATTAGCCTGTCATGACATGTCGTGTCGACGGTGTCGGCAGAAGTGGCCTTCCAGAGCAGAATGCTCATGTCTGATCTCGTAAACCGGCCATCATGATGTCGGGCTGATGCTTCGAGTACCGATCAACAAGATGCTGGATAATCAGCATCTTGGTCATGTCATGGATAGAAGCTGGCCGCAGCCGTTGCAAAGCTACTTCCTCGAGCTTTTAAGCGGCACCAGAAAATGCCAGGACACGATGCAGAAGGGTCATGACTCAAGACTACTTGCCTCGTTTGTGCAAGGACCTTTGAAAGCAGTATGCGACCGTACAAGACACTGGTACTGGTCGTCGTCGCAAAGTGTCAGGAGGGAGAGCTGCGGCATTCGCAGGACCGGGGAGAGCAGAGCACTGCTAGTCCAGCCAGCCGTGGCTCCGAAGAAACGGAAAGCTTCCAGCCAAAGCCATTTGTGGGAGAAGAACCCAGCTTAATGAACAAAGGCCGCGTCTTGGGCTCAGGCATCTTCAAAGACATCACCGATCCCAGCCTGAGCGTTTGCCGTCAATTGGCGTTGGCTGTCAGAGGCCCTCTCAGAGCCTCGTTCCCATTCCTTCTCCGGCCTGGCCAAGCCCCGTGGCAGGAAAACCAGGCCCACGAAGGACCTCGGCGGAAAGGGACATCGGGAACTCCGAAGGAGGGTGTCCTCACAGCTCAGTGCTGTCTGAGCCACAGCACAGTTGGTGAAGCCAACCCTGCACAACCAAATGCCGAAGCAGAAAATCCAAGCCTGTTATCATCCCCAGCACTACACGCGGCACTGCACGCAGCGAGATTGTATGCGACGTCACCTCGAGGCCCTTCTTGGTAGCAGCGCTGACCTGAACACGGGTCACAGTAGAAGGAAGTGGTCTGCCTTAAGGCGCTGGCGCGATACCGCGCTCAAACTTTTGGAGATCGGCGGATGGGCCGGCATTGGTCCACTCACGGCGAAGTCTGGCACCAGTGCCAACACCTCTGCTGCTTTCTGGTGTCTGCTCCCGGAATCCTGCGCATGCGTGCTCCAGGTATCTGAGGCGGCAGCGTCAGGCTTTCAGTGGCAAAACAACCTGGGCACTCTGGGGCTTGCAGCGCATACGGACCCTGTCCCTGAGGCTGAGGGTACAACACCGCGGAGGCGGAGAACTGTCGATCACGGAGGAAACCAGAGCTGACGTGGCCCTGAAGGGCCGTGCAACACCTCGATCTTAACTGCCCGTGTTCTGCACAATCCCTTGGGACTTCCAAGCAGGCCGGACCACACGATGCCAAGCTTGAGTCACTGCAGGCCTCCGAGCGTCAGTGACGAGGAGGAGTCGTTCTCAGGCGCCTAATGCAGAAATGCACTCTCCGCACACTTCACAGCGCTGCGCTCTCCATTCTTCTCAGGCTGGGCCGCGTACACAGGATCGTAACAACAGGAGCAGGCCAAGGTGCAAGGAGCCTGAAGCAGATGTGGACGACCTCTGCAACACAGGCGCTCTGAATTGCTTTACATCCTCAGCTTAGAAGCACTCCAGGATCTGATGGAAAGACCCAGGTTTCGCCGAGCGGCTCAATGCGCTGAAGGCCAGAAGGAGATGCAGCAAAGCCTGACCCTCCGAGATGCCTCGACGCTGGCGGAGACCCTCCGTGGGCGAAGTCTGAAGCAGACATGAGCAGCTGTGCGACAACAATGCCGACCGGGGTAGCTGGAGTCAAGAACCAGCATGAAGGTGTCTGATCGGATCCAGCTTGCCAAGACAATGGAGCTGTCCACACCAGCCAACGCACGGAGCAAGTCAAGCTCCCAAGTTTCAGCGCGCAAGATGCGCGAGGTAGGGCTCATGGCCGCCCGAGACCTTGCAAAGAAACCGACGAGCATAGATGTGCCCGGCCTGAGGCCAGCGATGCCAAATCCAGGCATGCACTACCGAAGACCGGGAGACCACTGTCAGATGATGCAAAATCTCGGAGGACACCAATGATGCTTGCTGAGGCGGCAAACCCCGTCAAAGAAAGCCTTAAGGGGGAGGTGGGGAGCTTCCCGAAGACCAAGATTCCACTGCGGACACCGCGGCATCCAGGCGTGTGCAAAGGAACGGGTCGACAGAAAGCTGCCGAAAGGGCTCCGGATTAGCACAAGCATCGGGGGCCCCTGGTCGAGCGAAGCCCTGTGGCACTAGAGCAAGGCCTAGGCGACAGCTTTCTGGAACCAGAGTGCTCGCATCGGGCGTCCAAGTGCTCTCGGCACCAGCAGGAAGCCCGTGCTGACAAAAGACAGTCCATTGGACAGTGTTGGGCATCTGCTCAATGTTGGAACTGACGCGCTGCGGCATGACAAGGCACAGGCTACCGACGCGACTGTTGCTACAAATTTGGCAACTCCCAAGCACATCGTGTTCCGTATAGACTGCCAAACTTCAGCATGTCGAAAACAGCGGCGGGCATATCTAATCATGCCAAGCCGACCAATGATGCAGCCATGCCGAGGCAGGACAAGCTTAGGAAACACTGGAGAGAAGTCTCACACAGACATGTCACATGCCAACGGCTGGCTGTGCTAGCAACTCGGAGCAAGGGAAACACAAAGTCTTCTCTGAACAAGTTCCTTGGCAGCTAGATAGCAGCTGAGATCCCGACATCGGGAACAGCACAGAAGGAACCTTGATCGAGCCCTTGCAAACAAAGGCGGCAGCGGATGTGCAGGCAACGGCCCTTCTTAGACTTGGCGAGTCAGGGCATGAAAGGTCAGGCACAGGCACAGCTGCAAAGTCGGGAAGGGCTCCGGAGTGGCAACACGATGTCCGGCATAGCAGAACCAGAATCGATAGCAGGTGTCAGAAGCCCCGCCCAATTTGCCAGGGCTCCTTGGTGGTGACGTAGAGCCGGCACTCGGGTCGATTGTAAACAGGGGAGCATTTGGTCTATAGCAGGCCCAAGCCCGGACATGCGGAACTGTGCCATTCGGAAGAAAGACCTGGGAACACGAATCCGACAAGACACCATCGATCTGTTTGGAAGAGTCCCAGCCTTGCCAAACGCTGCATGCTGCGAAATGCCCGGTGCTCGCGACGTTCTGTATCACGATCGATGTATCGAAACAAGGCCCGGAAGCTGCCAGCGAGGACATCCCGAGGCAACAGCAGTTCCGGACAAGTGGGCTAGCTCCAAAGCGGCCAGCACAGGCAGGGAAAGCGAAGTCTCTGCCGCTGCACACATCCGAAGAGGGAAGGCCCAAGTCCAGGTGGCCAAAGCTCCTCGGAAGCAACGACGAGACTCGAGTTCGGCGCCGTCAAGCACCGGCGAAGAAGTTTAGCGATGAGTCACTGAGGAAACGAACAGTAGAAAGCCTGGATAACAGTGCTGCTGCAAAGACAACAGGCTGCCGCATGCCAAGAGATCCCTTGTCACCGGAGACATATCAGAACAGCCCAGCGAGACGGCTGCGGGACGACTGAGGGCTGTGTGAATGGCAGCATACCCAAAGTGACGAGGTCTGGGGCAGGAAAGCGGCGGACCTGAGCCGAAGAGGCACACGAAGGAAAAAGCAAGGACGCTTCTGAATGCAAAGTTTGCAACGCAGCTGGAGCCAAGCCAACTCCAAAGACACTGCTGCGGGCCAAGTCGGGCCGAGCCGCTGCGCACGGGCGGCGCCAAACTCCACAAGCCCAAGGCCAGCACGGAGAGGCTGACCCGAGCCCTGCGGTGGAGGAAAAGAGCCAAGTCACGTCACACCCACAATCGACCAGGAGAAAACGAGTTCTACACGGCTCAAGCCAAGTGTGGCTGTAAAGTCCAGAGAAGAAGCTGGAAGATCTCATCAAGTCCGGGCGCCAAGCCCGACCAAATGCAGAGGACAACACGAAACAAGGATGCTGCCCCATGTGAAGAAACATCGAGTTGCGGCGACACGCAGTTGGGCTATGCAGAACTTTGCAGCAGAGGTGGACTGGCCGTGCGGAGCTGAGAAAGCAGGCCCGAGGCAAGTGGCCAAGTATCCATAGGAACATCGAAACGCCGACTTGTGCTAGGACCGAGGCGGCCAAGGCTGCTCCAGGCTTTGCAAGCGAGCGAAGTGGCTATGAGGAATCGAGCACAGCTCTTTCTGAAGCGGAGGACAAGCCTCAAGCCAAAGCAGTTGGGCCAATTAACGCGAAAGTCCCACATCCAGAACAGATAAACTCACATCCAGGCGCACAGAGCCGGCCACGGCCTCCGAAAGTCGAAAGAGGCCCAAAATCCGCAGCAAGAGCGGGCTGGCCAGGTGCATAAATCCAGACACCAGACACCAGCAGTGGCAGACCCAGGCAAGCGTGCTGTTGGGCCGGGGCCGGCAACGGCTCAAGACGGATCCCGGACCGATGGCGCAGGCGCGATCCGGCGAAGGGCAAAAACCGAAGCAGGCGAACCAGCTTTGCCGAGCTGCTGCATAAATGTCGCTACGCCAGGGTGAGCAAATCAAAGGGGCCAGCACACGAAAGTCCAGGTGTGCACTTGACAACAGCAGGAGTCCCAGACCAGATGCAAGAAGTCCACTAGGTCACTAGTTATGCGAAAAGGGCTAGATCTGAGGCGCTCTCCTTGCTGAGATGAGAAGGGTCCAAGCGGAGGCCGCGAGCTGAGCCAGCTACATTCCATCCAGGGCATGAGCTTGTGATTCTTGTACGGCAATTGCCCGGCACCTCCGAGCAAAAGGCCATGCCAATCCCCGACTTCGGATCCAATTCCCCGTGTGAAGCCTTTCACCAAGGATTCCGTGACCTCAGCAATGCTATGCAAAGCCAAAGAAAGACTTGACTTGCCATTGAATTGAGGCAAGCCGCATCGCCCAAAGCTTTCAATGACCTCAGGCGCAAGGGTGAACCCCATGGCAGCCATGCAAAAAGCACACCTGCCCCTTTCGTATTGAGCCGCCCACGTCGGACTTCTTTAACTGCTCTGAGCCGGCCAGATCGCACAGAAGAATCCTGGCGAACGTGCGGGAGTGCAGGTTTTGCTGCATACTCTCTGTCGTCTTCAATCTACTAGCTGGTTCGAAACTATGCAAGCCAAAGCCAGGGGGCCTTTCCACCCAACTTCTGCTCCGTCTGCTTCAGTGGTCGACATTGCATGCCAATGCGTGCCGCCTTACTAATGCATGCCTTACTTACTGATACCTTCTACCCTGGACATGTGGGAGTTTCACAAAATCAAGGCCCTGAAGACAGTCGCGCGGACCGCACATGCCCTCAACGCACACAACGACAATCCACGCATTCGTGTTCAACCACTTGCACCCGCATGACTTTCCACTGACAAGCGATGCGACATTTTGGCTCCTTCAAACTATGCAAGCCATTCAGTTCCATGAATCGATGAAATGCTCAGGGTGCGCTTCGTCGTGCTGCCATTTGGCCGCCAAACAGACACGAATGAAGCGCCAAGGCTAACGCGAGCCTCTTGTGAAGTGTGAGTGCTGGGCAGGTGCCAGCCATGCTGTGCAGTGCGAGCTCTGCTGTATCTCGCACGGCACGAAGTCAGAAACATTTACACGAAGACAGCTGTCCCAGAAGATGCTGATTTACTAATACGTATATTAAATAAGAAGGTTATAAGTAGGTTCATACTTGGGGTAACTCCACTTCGGGTACTTATGACTCTACTTATAACCTACCTGCTACGTCCCCTGCCCCTCCAAGTGACGACTGTTAACAGTCAGAATAGGGTTCTGGAGTAGATTATCCTATACTTACAAGGAGGACACCTGGAGGGGCCATGATGCTTAGAGAAGGGTTTTGATTTTTTATTGTTGTCATAAGAAGAAGCCCAATAATAGTGGGAAATCTATCGGTCTCGATGTTACTTAGGATCGGCTTTAGGCTTCAGGGGTGAGAAGTTTAGCGTTCTGGGGTTCAGGGTGTAGGGTTTAGGGCTAGAGGGGTCCGAGTACTTAGGATTCTAAGCTCCATCATACCTCCTAGGTGAAGAAACTGCAAGATACCCCAAAACCCTGCTGGCCTCTTGTGACTGCGGGGTTTCTGTATTGGAGCTGAAAGTTCTGAAGGAGGCCAGGTAAGGTTGAGGGTTTAGCAGTTTGGGGTTCAGGGTTTAAGGTCCACCTGGAGGATCATGGGACTTAGTAACTGACACTAATTACGGTAACTGTACTTAAGAATACTTGTAACCCACTTAAGTCTCGCTAGCGGCAGGGGACAGCTGGCCATCGGCTCTTGAAAGCTCTCGCGGCTGCGGAGCGCACGTGCCCTCAACGCACACGACGACAATCCACGCCTTCGTGTGCAACCACTTGCACCCGCATGCCTTTACGTTTCGGCACAGGATTCAACAGCTCTGGGAAACGATGGGACATTTTGGGCTCCTTGAAACCATGCAAGGCATCCCATGCCCATCGACCACGTTGTTGTCGGCCTTGCTGTGCTCAGTTCCATGAATGGATGAATCTGTGCTTGAAACCTTCAAATGCTCAGAGTGCGCTTCATGCCGTGCTGCCATTTGGCCGCCAAACCCTCAATAGCACGGCAGGCTTTGCAACGTCTGCCTTCATTGATGTCTGGAACTTGCACAAATGAGGGTATTGAATAGACACGAATGAAGCGCCAAGGCTAACGGGAGCCTCTTGTGAAGCGTGAGGTGCTCTGCTGTATCTCGCACAGCACGAAGTCAGAAATATTTACACGAAGCCAGCCGTCCCGGAAGATGCTGCCTCTGCAAAGGAGCAGAAGGGATGCTGTGAACAATCCTGAGTTTAAACTTAAACCCAACTCTGTAGTCCAAGCAGCCTTTCAACTTACGTTGGCAAAGAACTCCCCGATGTCAGTCCAAAAACGCTTACCGATTAAATCGAACGAACCCTTCCGGAATAAATGTGTTAGCAGAATCTTCGGGTAGGTTGCGATGCAGTGTCCAGCTTACGAAGCATCCACAACCCAGGATCCGAAAACCGTCTCGACTATGACGACTGTAGCCCTGTTTCATGGTCTCTGCACTGAGCTTCAGCTGGCCCTGCCTTCCGTGTCCTTTGCGGGACACCTTTGCCGTCTTGCGGGTTTAGTTTCTAGGACATCCCGTTTCGGGCAAAGTCTGGGGCTCAGCTTGGCCATGCTGAAGGTCGTGAGAAGAGGTTGGCCACGCAACATCTGCACGTCAACCCCGTAGCAGACTCGTTTCAACTGCTTTGGCCAACGGCTACTTTTGAACACCGCACTGGGCACCAAAGTCCAGAGCTATGCAATATCGTCTCGCCGCGCCTCTCCTCACTTTGTACGCCACCCGAAAACGTCCGAACATCGACTACGAGCCTACCCTGCTGCCAATGCTCGTTTTCCTGACTCAGAACAATTGACGACAGAGGTGAACTGCGCAGGAGTCTTGTGGCAACGGTGCATGTCGCTACCAATTTCGCAACAGCTCCTTGCAGCACCAGCATCCGCTGGAACACACTGAAAACACCGACTGGGATTGCAACGCTGGATCAACCTGGATCAAGCACCAACGCGAGCTCACTCCATCACACGGGAAACTCGGGAAACTTTTGACAAACCACATGCGAGACACTAAATGCGCCTGCTGAAACACAAAAAAACACAAGTCCCTCCATCTTACTGACACGAAGCCCCGCCAGGCTAAACATAGTGAATCCCGCGCAAACATGCTCACACTCACACTCAGACTCACGCACCTTTCATGTCGGGAAGTATCGAGCCCAAAGCCTCAAACCATTTGGCCTAGGAGTAATACTTGCTCTGAGCGTCGTTGGGGTGGGCGCCCCATCTTCGGGCGATCTCGCACAGCTGGCTTGACCAGCAATCTTTCCTGGGTCTCTTTATGGGGGCCCATCTCGAAGGACTGCCAACTAAAGTGGGGCATTGCACATGAAAGGTGGACTCGCCGAAAGGTTCTCTTGGAATTCATCACAGGCGTCTCTTCAAGCACTGGCATCTTCACAAGCAACTACGGAGTGGCTGAATTCCAAAAGAACCTTTCGGCGAGTCCCACGCCCTTCCAGACCTTTAGATCCTCTGCATCTAGGTGTACCCCAAACTCTATAACCTTTGACAGGGCAAAGGTGGTTTCATCCGTGTCATCGCTGAGTGCACGACGGCTCCAGCGGGTGCGCCCCAGAAGCCCTGACTTCCAAGTGAGATTTTAGATTCCGAAGGTGCGGAGTCCTGGTTTGCAACTTCAGGACTAGGTGTGTCGAAAGAGTGTTTTGGGTGGTGCACTGGAGTGAAAGGTACCGCCGGGGCCCTGGCTGCGTCCAAGCGCCCCAGCAAGCGGGCCGCCGCCTGCAAAACTTCAGCGCGAGCTTCTAGCACATGTAGGGTTGATTGTTCAGGGTTTACGGCTTCGGGATTTGGAGTCGATGGTTGCGGCTTCAAGGCTTTGGGATGGAGCCTGTGTCACAAATCATAGCCTGATTGCCAAACTGGGTTGAGGGCATGTCGTTTAAGGATTTGGGCTTGTGGGTTGTGCTCAAGTGGCCAGCGAATCAATGCTTCTCCAACCACAGAAGCCTGAGCATCTTTAGCCCAAAGAGAATCTCTTTCAACTCAGGGGCCTCTGTGCCAGCAGCACTGACCACCGGCGAGCTGCCTGTCAAAGCCAGCCGCTGCGATTGGCTTTGGAGTCTCATGTGACATGGCACACAAAGAAAGCACGAAACTCCCATAAACTGCAGTACCCTAAGAGCTCCTCAGCTTTTCCAGAGCCCATCTCTCGACGGAGTCTTGCACATCAGCTTGTTGGCTCACGCGCTTCAGTCCAGGTCTCGTGTTCCAGGAACCCAGGTCAGCTCAAGAAACCCCAAAGCCGACAATGCAGTGCCCGACTACCTAACGCAAAGCATGGCACAAGACACACAGCCGAGGCACAACAAAGAATAGCTAGCAGCTAGCACTGCATGACAGGATACCAGAAAGAACAGTGGAAAGCCAAACACGTCAAGGAAGGGCGGGCTGGCACGTACGAGACCTAGCCGAATTACAACTGCCATATTGACAATAATCCAAAGGAAGCTTTTGGGGCAGCCTCTTCGCCACATTCACATCAACCCCATCTGGACGGAGCATCTCTCTGAAGTGCAGTGACGACCACTGATCTTAACCTCACGAAACTGGCCTGACCTGTATGGGGAGGGTATTCGTGTAGGGTACTTTGACTTGTATACAGTGGGGCTGTAGGGCTCTAGCAAAGGCGGCGCACCTTGTGACATCGCTTTGGCCGGGGACGTGCTTGCCTGCTCTTGGCAAAGCCCAAGACGCTTGGGCCTTTGCAATCAACATGCCGATCTGGGCGCCCAGCGGCAGCAACAAGGTCTTCCACAAACTGCCCCGCGACATCGTGTTCCACCTTGCAGGTGCCGCCCGTGGAGCAGAGCAGGACGTCGAAAGCAAATTGAGCTTCTGCGGCAAACACCTCGTCCCCTCGAGTGGAAAGCAGTGGCTCTTCCTGACGATTCGTGAGGGCAAAGCTTTTGCTCTCAGTGGCACCCTACAGTAGGCCCTACAGGGAACGCGGAAACCTTTCCTGAGACTCTACTTCAGGCATGCAGCACAGATTCGAAGGCAAGCACAGGACTTTGAAAAGCCATATGCTCTGGGACGATCACCGGAAGCACAAGCGGCGTGAACCACGTGACCGCAGAGGGCCGCTTCCACCAATCGCAGCCCAGCGCTGTAGCCACAACCTCCAGAGTCACAAGCATTACAGCTTCAGGAACCTTCTTCGGAGATTGCGAAGTTTCAGAATGACACACATCAGTAAGCTCTGACTCTGTCTTGCTCAAAAGCGTAGGGAGCAAGCTGGTCCGGCGTTCATTTAAAGATGTTGAGGAGGATGACTCGCTTGTGTTGTGCAAAACCGAACGTCCACCTCATGCTAATGGCATTCGTGAAGAAGCAGCACATCACTTCAAGCATCACCGGAGCTACTACACGACGGTAATCTGGGAACCATCATCAGTCTATCTGCCTCTGCGGTGGGAGTGGGAGTCTGTCGCAGTGGCGTATACCTTTCAGAGGAAATCGCATGTGGGTCCAAGGTGGGTGCCCTACATGCCGTTCTTGCCACAACAAGCCTGAGCTTCAAGTTGGAAAGCTCTTGTTAGGGCCAAGGTGCCAGGTTCCGACCGACGCCAGAAATTCCCACGGCTGGGTGGAAAATGCCGCCGCAGGCTGACAAGCCTCGCCCCCCGATGGCTAAAGCTCCCCCACCACGCAGCGAGAAGTCAAGAATTCAAGCCATACTTCTATCACTGCTTCCCTTCCTGAGGTTCGGCTGCTGTCTTTGCCAGCTCCAGTGCAGGATGCCCGGTGTCTACCCGCGAAGATGTGGCGAGCGAGAATTCGCACGAATCAATGCTTCTCCAACCACAGAAGCCTGAGCATCCTTAGCCCAAAGAGAATCTCTTTCAAGTCAGGGGCCTCTGTGCCAGCAGCACTGACCATCGGCGAGCTGCCTGTCAAAGCCAGCCGCTGCGATTGGCTTTGGAGTCTCATGTGACATGGCACACAAAGAAAGCACGAAACTCCCATAAACTGCAGTACCCTAAGAGCTCCTCAGCTTCTCCAGAGCCCATCTCTCGACGGAGTCTTGCACATCAGCTTGTTGGCTCACGCGCTTCAGTCCAGGTCTCGTGTTCCAGGAACCCAGGTCAGCTCAAGAAACCCCAAAGCCGACAATGCAGTGCCCGACTACCTAACGCAAAGCATGGCACAAGACACACAGCCGAGGCACAACAAAGAATAGCTAGCAGCTAGCACTGCGTGACAGGATACCAGAAAGAACAGTGGAAAGCCAAACACGTCAAGGAAGGGCGGGCTGGCACGTACGAGACCTAGCCGAATTACAACTGCCATATTGACAATAATCCAAAGGAAGCTTTTGGGGCAGCCTCTTCGCCACATTCACATCAACCCCATCTGGACGGAGCATCTCTCTGAAGTGCAGTGACGACCACTGATCTTAAACTCACGAAACTGGCCTGACCTGTATGGGGAGGGTATTCGTGTAGGGTACTTTGACTTGTATACAGTGGGGCTGTAGGGCTCTAGCAAAGGCGGCGCACCTTGTGACATCGCTTTGGCCGGGGACGTGCTTGCCTGCTCTTGACAAAGCCCAAGACGCTTGGGCCTTTGCAATCAACATGCCGATCTGGGCGCCCAGCGGCAGCAACAAGGTCTTCCACAGACTGCCCCGCGACATCGTGTTCCACCTTCCAGGTGCCGCCCGTGGAGCAGAGCAGGACGTCGAAAGCAAATTGAGCTTCGGCGGCAAACACCTCGTCCCCTCGAGTGGAGAGCAGTGGCTCTTCCTGACGATTCGTGAGGGCAAAGCTTTTGCTCTCAGTGGCACCCTGCAGGGAACGCGGAAACCTTTCCTGAGACTCTACTTCAGGCATGCAGCACAGATTCGAAGGCAAGCACAGGACTTTGAAAAGCCATATGCTCTGGGACGATCACCGGAAGCACAAGCGGCATGGACACACCAGCGGAGCACTTTGCAGCAGGCCTCTCTTGACACCATGTCGTCTTTGTTGACGTCGATGGCCTTGAGAAGGCTCGTCGGGCATCCGAAGCGCGGGCAACAGGGTGAGAACCACAACCTGGCCTCGAAAGCCGCAGCAAGCGTTTGCTTGACCTTGCTTAATTCTGCCGATGCGGCTTCACGGAAGGCACCACCATACAATTCACATTGAATGCTGTTAAGCCTGACACGTCCTTCAACTCCTGCGCACAAGCTCGATTGCGCGTTTCGGCTCTTGTTAGACTCAGCACGATTGACTCTATAAACTATAGTTCTACACATGTCTTCTTGGGTCTCAATATGTTTCACAAAAGCAGCAACAACATGTATTGAGCAATCTCGTGTCTTTTCGAAAAAAACCAGACCAAGCTCATGTTCGCCGCCTTCCGCAACGCTTTCACCTCCTGCGGGGCCAACACCACAGCTATGACTCACCCCAACACACAACTTCGGTACAATCCTAAACAAATTCCGACAAAAGTCCTTCAACAGCTTGAACATCAGTTGCTTCTGCATCGAAGAGATCCTTGACCTCAAGACGCACAGGAAGAATGTACTGCACAGCCGACGTTGATATCAACACAAAAACAAGCCAACGGGCTTTTCTTCGCACTCACACCCTGAGCCTCATATAGCATATTCCGGACAGTTTTGACATGTACATGCTCATCACATTGTTGGTGAAGTTAAACCATGATATGCAGTAAATAGGGGTCTGGGGTTGCTGTACAAAGTTGTTACCCGTCTTTCCTGGTTACCTTTACGAATTTCCACGAAGTCAAACTGTGTCACAGACTGTTACTTTTTGGTACCGTCGACACTTTTGCAACTTACGGCAGATCCGGTCTCACAAAAAAGCTAAACCGGGCTCATGAGATGTCGTGGCTCACAGCCCGATCAACCACAGCAGCGGCTTACCAGCAGTCGAACATGTAGAAACACTCACGGTTTGCATGGTCCACATTGTTTGTAGCCACGGGACATAACTTGTGCTTTCATCATTGTGGACTCATTCTACTTGCCTTGGTCACAACTCCGAAGGCTTCACGATGATCGAAATTTCCATTGCCAACAGTCCATACGATCTGCTGTGCGTCTCGCACACAGCAAAAATTTCTCTGGAAAGTCCCCAAACAGTTTCGCTGTAGGGATTCTCTCTTCAAAGCACTGTCCGCGCTAAGGTAAAATGGCGTGTCCGCGCCCCGCTCCTTGTGTGGGTCGATGATACTGTGTTGATGCTCACCTCACCGAACGTGTTGATAAGTTGTTGCTGCCCTTTACGAACTTGCAGCTGTCAAGCTGTATCCACAGCAGTCCCTGCAGGCAAACTCGGTCCGAATGTGCTCTCGCCAGAGACACGCGACGAATTGTCTGTGCAAGGGGATGGCTCGAATCCTCAAGATCAGTAGACCACAAGCACTTTAGCTTGTATGGCAATAGTTGATATGCCGAAGCATATTCTTGAGCCAAAGTTGCGTTGTGTGCAGAGAAATTATGGCAGGCACTGTCGCATGGTCCGGCTAGCGGGCCCAAGCGCGGGCAACATAAAAGCAGTGAGACAAGGTCTGCAAGACGGTGCCTTGCTCTATGTACATGGTGGCACATGACATCAGATTCATAGCTCAGATTGCGACACCTGCGAATTGGACTAAGCATCGAGGTCCGTTCGCACCCCCCATGAGTTGCGTCTCTGGCACTACACTCACTTTGGAAGAGAGTCGCGATTAGACAAAAAGAAAATATCCGCCGCAACTTTGAGGATTGTTTAGGATAAGAGCCATGAGTTCTCAATTTAAAGGTTGTGACACTTCTCTACGTCAATGACGATCCCCTGAAATGACTTCGCGGAATCAGAAAAACACCGAAGAAATAGGCCACGATCGGATTCCACCTGCACGTAGTAGCCAGTGCCACGAACTTGCCAGCAGTGAAAGAGACGATATGACCGATTGTCTTCCTCCCAGCGCCGGAGACGTTGACGTTCACGCTCACGTTCCTTAGGAGTCTTGGACTTGCCTGTGCCTCTGCCCTTGTCGACATGGGTGTTGGCATTCCAAGGACGACGGCTGTCTCCTCGTCCGGGTGATGAAGCTCGATTGTGATTTGGACGATTGACACGTTCACGTTGTTCATCTGTGACGGGGGCATCCATGATCGATGATCGTCCTGCTTGCAAATAGTCGGAGGGGCGCAAATTTTGAAGTGCTTGACGTCCTCCTCTGTGAGCCTGTGGATTAACCTCCCTGTCGATCCTGCTCTCGGTCACTTTGTCCACGAACATAACTTGAATGTTGTTATCTGCGTGAGATGCCGATAACACGGTATAAATGCTCACCTCACCGAGCTTGTTCACATAGTTTACAGTGGTGGCTTTCTACGATGCAGTAGCCAGTCGTACTGATACCAACGCAATCGCTGGCAAACTCGGCTCACCCTTTTTCGCGGGAGAGATACTTACTCGCAGCGAGTTGTCTGTGCAGACAGGAATTGTTCAATCCTCAAGGCTCGTTAGACTCGACAGTAGATGAGTAGATTCACTCATATTCTTGAGCCTAAGTTGCGTTGCACGCGGAGCGTATGGTAAAGTGACTTGTCGCCGGGTCCACACAGTGGTACCGGGCTACATGGTACGGGGCCCACACAGTGGCTCCTCGACCCATGGACATGGCGTACCATGACATGTGGCTCATAGCTGTCATACCTAAAGAAGCGACACCTACGAATTGGACTAGGCATCGAGGTCCGTTCGCACCCCCCATGAGTTGTGCCTCCGGCACTGCTCACACGAAGAGAGTCGCGATGGAAACAGAAAAGGCTCCGCAGCAACTTTGGACATTGCTGAGGATAAGAGCTTTGACTCCCAATTAATAAGGTTGTGACATATCACTACGTCGGTAACGATCCCGGGAAACATCACTCGCAGAATCAGAGAGTCATCGAAGAATATCAGTACGGATGCCGCCGCACATGAACGAGCGTCACACAGATGACGATGTAGAGACTCACCCTTGGTGATCTCTTGCCCATCGTCCCGCTTGCCGACGGGCCTGCTCCCTTTCAGCGGGACGTCGGTTCTTGCCCTTGCCCTTGTCAGCAGCAGTGTTGGCATTGTACCGTTGACGGTTCGCAGAAAATGCCTGTGCCCCAGATTCTCGTCCGACTTGCGCACGTTGTTCTGCCGTCACGGTTGTATCCATGATGGACGCTTGCCCACGGGACAGATACTCATGCGGTGCAATGTGCTCCAAAGCTCTTCGTCTTCGAATAAGGCACGAGGATTGTTTTCGGCTTCCGCACGGTTCTTGATGAACTTGTCCAGGTATTTCCTTGGCACAGGGGTGTCACTGTCGATGAGCATGCCGACGGTTGTGACGCTGACGTCTCCAAGACTCACATTGGCCATCACCCCAACAGAGTCAATGAACAGGAATCCGACCGGACCAGAAGGAGCGGGACGAATGAGCGAAAAGAGCTGGTACCACGTGAGCTTGGGAATGATGTCGCTGAGAACGCCCACACAGCTGCCGTTCTCGTAGTTCTCTTTTGACTTCAGGGACGTCTGGTACATCTGCAGCAGCAGGCTGCTGTCTTTGGTTGTGAGATACAGGCGGAAGCGTCGATCGACAAAAACTAAAACGCTGAGAAAATTCAATCGCGATTGAACTTTTTCAATCGGCGGTCCTGTGGGATGCTCCGGAACAGGATCCTGGGAGTAGCCGAGGCAGGCCGCCTCATTAGACGCCACCGTGTTCCCCGCCGCCCGGCTCTCGCCGCCGTGCTCCTCCCGTTGGCGAAGACGCCGGCACGGAGACGGTTTCTGGAACCGGTTGACGCCGCCACGACTGTGGACCCGAGGTCGCAGCCCGTGTGGAGCCTCTGGCCGCTTGCGGCATTTCTTCAGTTTTGTGCGCAGCACCTAGCTGCTTGCCGAAAGGGTGGCAGGGTGGCGTATCCGCTCTATAAATCCCGGACGCTCGTGGCTAGGGAGGCACGGCTATGCTCCCGAAGCGCGAGGAGTAGCGCCGTTGCTTCGGCTGCTCGTCTCACCAGCCCGTGGCCGCTGTGCGGCGCGGACTGTGGAAGGCTCAGAGCCTCGTGCCAGGAGTGCCGAGAAAAGTAAGGGGTTGCGCGTGTGTTCGGTTTAGGAAGGGTTGTCGGGTAGGTTTTTGGCAAAGCCTCCGGCCGCCCGCTGCCCTAACGACACACCCCGTGCTCTCGGCTGAGGGCGAATGTGACTGTACATAGTCTACGGGCTGTGCTGTGAGACTTTGTGCTTTTATGCATGTGTACTGTGAATTCGTGTTCCATAACATTTTTGGCTCAAGCGAGCACGGCAGTAAATCGTAGGTTGCTCCGTGTAGCCTGCGATATATTGGCGGTGCGCAGCACGCTCCTGTGGTAGACGTGCGACCTGACACGGTCGCGGGACTTCTGCAGCAGAGCACGTAAACGGGCGGCGCACGATTGCCTGGTGGTAACTCTGCCCCGCTGTGCTCCTTCACAGTAAGCTCAGAGTTCGTTGCATCAATCCTTGCCAAGCCAAAGAGTATGAGTGTGTGTTTTTTTTTTTTGTGTGTGTGTGTGCGTTTGTGCGTGCATGTAAAATTACTTGCCTGCTTGTGTCTTTAATTCGCGAATTTTCTTCAAACATGCAACTATTGTTTATGTAGTTGATAGTTCTTTACATATTGGATCAGTTGTCTGTTGACTTTTGCTTACTTGTATTGTCGGCCAGAATCTAGAAACAATGTATAGAACCTGTGCACGAGCAGATCTTTGGCAGACGGTTGATGGGATCCCCACCCTTTGGGGCAATTGTGTCTGCATGCCCTCCCCTGGATCAGCACCTGGTCTTAATTACGTTCTTTGTGACCCTGAAGGCTGCCGTTCCACCCAGGCGTCCGAAGCCAATCTTGGCCCTTTTGCATGCTGGAAACGATCAAGAGCTACATCACTTCGCGTGCCATCATGTGTGGAATGCATGACATGGGAGATGAGGCTTGACGGATCATGTGTGGAATGCAAGTGTCCGCAAGCGTGGATAGGATTCCCTGAGGCTCCCACACGGAAAGCGGGGGTCAAAATCACCTCGGCAAGTTTCATGGTGCTTGAGGAACGTTGCCCCACAGACAGCTGTGCAGACACAGCACAAGAAGCATCCTCCATGCCAAAATGACATGGAGAAGGCTCTGTGCGCTGAGCTTCCGGGCAGAAGCTCAGCGACCACACAGATGACCCGAGTGAGCCGAGAGCGACACGCTCAAGAAGGGGTACATCAAGAGAGGCTTCCGTCTTCTCTAAGCACATGGCACTTTCAAGCGTGCGCCCTCCAAGCAACGCAAAATTCACACGAACCTGCACCCCCTGCATCTGTTCATTCAGGCTGGAGCAGACATAAGACGATAGTATGTGAATACTGGAAATCTCGATGACCACAACCAATATCGCGTTGATCAGCAGACAAGAATAGGTCGTTGGTGCTGGCAGTCGTATTTCGGACAGTACTTGCAATACTG